TGTTAACAGTAGAGCAGTATTAATTAATAGTGGTTGACTATCCTCTCTTCCAGGAGGAGGTGAACGACTACTTTTGCTCGAATTACTTCAACCCCTTTCCTCAACGGCCCTTCTTTCTCTCGGACCAGGATGGAACCTTTCTACAGCGGCAATGAAATAGAAAATCCAAAATACTAGGTTATCAGCTTGCACAAAATATGATTTAAGTGATGTTCGAGGGTGCCGAGTTAAATTATTTGATTCGTTTTTCGCGAAATTTGATTCGTTGTCAAATGACTATTTAATATTCAGCTGTGAATAGAATAACGGTAACAGTCTTAGAGATAGAGAAAAAATTTACGTATTAATTTACGTATAATGACGTCATATATTTAAAAAAGATTTAGAATGAATAATAGTATTTTAATTACATAAATAATGTTCAATAGCAATTTTATAAAAGCAAATACAAAAATATGAGGCGGTTCTCTACTTTCATACCTAATTGGTTCCTGAAATGTGTATGAAAGTTGAAATGTTCGAAAGTAGAGCAATGTAAAAAACATCAAAAAGTTTTCAAAATACTTATTTTTTATTGATTAGATTCTGATGTTTTTTTATAAATTTGTCAAGAGATAATTGAATTGTATTCCTGTTTTTCTTTTTTTCATAAATATTCTGTAACACGCTGTGTTTTTTTTTCTATTGCCCTTCCTACATGAGATATACGCTCTCCATTGGGATCACATTTTTCAAGGTCCACAAAGGCTAACTGAAGATGTCTGTGCTCAAGAGTGAACATATGACGCCGAAAATGGACGTGATTAATGTCAGAGAAGTGGAGAGAGACTAGTGACAAATAGTTCATGAGAAGAGCAGAATCATTACACGAAAGTATTTGCATTTTGCCATACATATCGATAAAAATCGAAATTACGAAATGTGTACGAAATAGCGAATTGTACGAATGTAGAATGTACGAAAGTAGAGGACCATGTATTTCATACAATCAATAGAACACGTTGTTTTACGAAATTGTTTAGTCCAATCAGAATAAAGATAACTTTGAATAAAACAAATCGTTCTTTTTCTACTTCTTTGTCAGTAATTGAACGTCGTATCTTTGATTCGTCCAGTTTTGAGTAGATTTACTGAATATTTTCCTTCTATACCAAATATAAAGATAATAAATTGTATGTTTTTTTATTAATGTTCAAGAAAAACTCTGAACAAATCATAACTTTCAAAAGTTATTCGAACCGATAAGCGATTTTAATGCAAGATTCAATAAATATTGTTTAATACGATATACGTGTGAAATTATACTAACATTAATAAAACTAGTAAATAACCAGGAGGATAATTACATTTAAAATTTGTAAATATGCCGTTGTAAAAATTAGCCGTTGTAAACATGACGACTTCACAATCATCCAGGTAATGTCAGAAGATATCGCCTGTAATAATTGTGAAACTATTATTGGTTCATTCAAAGTTTGAATGAACAAATTTATAGATTAAATTTTGATATCTGGTATTTAAAGCGGAGATGGAAAGAAAAATGGCCATTAATAACACTGCAGTTTGCGAAATAATATAAAAACGTAATACAGAAGCATGATGTAAAAATTATAAAAGTCTTAATTGTAAAATCATTAATTAAGTATGAAAAGAACAAATTTAAGAAGTTTGTAACAGAAAAAAAGAACATAAACAGCTGGTACCAATGACGTTTATTTTGAAAAAACAAAAATCACTTCTAAATTTATTACTTCCTGTTAATTAAGCAATTTCTTCGTGTTGTGTTTCCGCTCACTCGCGGTTTGTATAACAGTTCTAGAAGCTTTACTATTCGTTCAGCGATTTATAACTGCGCCTCTTGGAAAACAAGCTTGAAGACCATACATCTTTTTATATTAGTGGTACAGATAACAAAACAATGGGAAAATGCAAATCGGTTTCAATTGTAAAATATTACGAAATAGATAAGTTATACAAATCAGTTATGCTTTTTTGGTTTAAAATTATTGTTCTAGGGGTATAAATATTAATAGAACGGAAAGATCTTTATGACACCAAAATTATAAAATCGCAAAAACCCAATCAAATTACAACAAAACAGAAATTTCTCTATTTTTATTTTAATAATTTGTTACATTAGAATTTTTAATGTTAAAAGTTCATTTTAATGATATAAATATAAATTATATGATTATATAAATTACATTTCATATAATAATAATAAGAAGAAGAATTCTTCATTTTCCATTAGCAATGATGCTATTTTTTATTCTGAAGTTCAAACTAAACGTCGTAGTCGACGAGAAAGATATGTGAAGAAATCCGTGCATGTGATTTCCTTAAAATAAAAATAATTTTATAAGTAAACAATAAGAAAAGAAATTTCTAAATATAAGTAATTAATGAAATTATATATAAACTTCCAGAATTGTTTAGGTTTAAACATAATAGATACGGTAATTTTAAATTAATAAAGTTTTCGTATGTAGGGGAGATCGGGGCAAGATCGGCATGTTAAGCTTTACTTAAATTTTGTGTAATAAATACTGCTGTAAACTGAAAAAAAAGCTTTGCATATTGTCTATTGGAATGTTTTCTTACTATAGAACTGGTTAAAATCAGTTTGGAAATAAAAATAATTAAAATAATTACAACTTTACAAGAAGAGAGAAATTGACGAAGTTGCCCCGGGTATAGGGGCAAGATCGGCAACTTCTCTCTTTTTGTAAAGTTGTAATTATTTTAATTATTTTTATTAAAGTTGCCCCTGGTATAGGGGCAACAGTAATGGGGCAAGATAGGCACGTATATAAAATTATGTTATTAACAATGTATAAGTTGGAATTCACTATTAAAACAAAGAAATACAAATCCAACACCCATTTAATATTATTACAACGAAATGCAAGTTCAAAGACATATATACATGAATAACAAATGCAAACATGTTTTCATTTATCATCTGTTTGATTTTTATCCTTTGCTTCTAATGTGGCTTTATGTTGCCGATCTTACCCCGCTAGTCATGATTTCGAAACATTAAGTACAACCCTGAGAACAGAATGCCAAGCCACGATCTGGCCACGTGAATAAGTTGAAGTTACATCCTTCTAACAGGAAAAGTAACTTTCGTTATCATGGAATTATAACAAAACCTGCCAATTCAATATAAATGGAAAAAAAATATTATATGGAATTGAACGAAAATGAAAATTTGCTTGATAATTCAACTACGCTTGTTGGAGAACAATAAAAACACTACACTCAACAAGCCACCAATAAAACTCAACTGCCTAACCTATAACCAAAGTCTCCTTTTAATTTGTTTTTTAAAAAAAGCGCTTGACAAACTTGCCCCGCATGCCGAAGTTGCCCCGATCTCCCCTACACCTTTTAAATATTAAGTTAATTTTTCTGAATGAAAATCAAATATAAATAAATAAAAATAAATGGTTATACAAGAACAAAATTCTAAATCATAATGCAAAATATACTACATAAAATTTTCGAAATTATATGTTTACAAATAGCTCAATTCAATTATTTTAATGAGTTGAAAATTTGCTGTAAGAAAAATAAAAATTGTTATCTGTAAGTACAATTAAAATAAATAAATTTGAAAATTCAATTCAATGTAGAAAGGTTCTTCAATTACATTAATTAATGAAATTATCTCAAATTTTGTAAACGTAATTATCAACAATGTTAAATCATAGCATGTTTACTTCTAGCACACGATTTTCAAATAATTAAATCTTTTAACTGATGTGAGGGTCGTAAAAACGCGTCGAAATTGCGACTAATTACGAAACTTTTACGTCGGAGAGTTTAGAAGATAGAATCGGGTCAAGAAGATGTGTTAATGACAGAACCCAGATGGGACGAAAACTTTTTTCGTATTGTAAAACAAACGCGACGCGATGATAAACGGCAGGGGGGAATGTCGACAGAGAGAGAGAGAGCTTTGTCGAGATGCTCTCAAACAAGTGTCAGGTTTTAAGGGGGGATTTAATAACAAAAGGGACGTCTGTTAAGCCCGACGCGTTAGGAAGTAAATGGCAACAAGAACATCTGGTGGACCGTTTAAGTTCAAAGATGTCAGAGAGAAGAGCCATAACGGAGTAAAATACGAGCGCGAACTGTAAAAGCCCCGTCATCACCTCTCCGACCTTTTCCTGACCCGGATCGGTCTCGAGTTTCGCCTAGAAACAAAAGAATGACCAATCGGGGTAAGGGAGAGGGTGAACGGGACCAATCAAAAGGATGATATTCGGAGAAAATCGTATAAAATCCCCGAATCTCAAGGACAAGGAGGGCGATTCTCCCCAAGACGAGTGCCAAGAAGACGCCAGGTCATCTGTACACGTCCGTCCAAGCTTCTCCGCATACTCAGAGGAAGGAAGTGTGTATCCTAACACCGGACATCGCCCGTTCTCCGTCGGACTCTTCTTCAAGGAAGCCTCGGGGCATCCAACAGCACCTGCCGGCCAACATTCCCAATTTTTGTTATTCATACTATGTAACTTAACTTTATGTCAAAAATAAACGGTTTCGTGTAAGACATTTGTCATCTTTGTCTCCTACCGCCACCACTCACATACGGTTTGATCCTAGGTTTTCCTGACGCGCAATTAACGTATTGCCCCTAACAGTCGGCGACCTTACACTGATTATATCGTAACATCGCCTATTACATATGTAACATTACATATGTTAGTTTTTAATCAGACATAAATAAAACGAAAATTTTGAAATCAAACTGTGGTTGGTAGATATAAAGATATTAATCAGTTCTTACATCTAAACAAGAATAACACTACAAAATATTTTCTCACCTTTTTTTCAGTTCCTGCTTTGAATTCCTCATCGTCTATATTTGGACAGTCATCACGTTTGATTTCTTCAAAAACAGTTAATTTATTTATCATTTGCTCTTGGTTCTTGTTGTCTTCGTTTGTCGTATTGCTTTCTGAAACACAAAATAATTTTATAAATTAAATTTAATTGTAAAGATAAGCTTTACCTATTGCACCTCCTGGACATCTTTGTACAGCAACTTCACCCGCTTTAGTCCAATTCCAAAACAATGTACGCGAATGTACAGGTGAGCACATTCCTTTAAATTTATCAACATTTGTGCTATCGGGACTTCGAGTTCTTTCACTATTTGATGATTCTACAATTGATATAAAGTGTTATTAAATAATTTTTTCTTCCACTATTATGAATTAAATTTCTTTTTTTTTTCTACCTGTAACGAATAGAGAAGGCCTAAAGGATTCGGTGCTCGAAGAACGAAGTTTAGTGGGTGTTTGAGAAGTCGAGGAAATAGTTTTCTCTGATCCAGTGATAACGTAAGAAGATTCGTGATGGGATAAGGTTGTAGACGTATTTGTAGGCTTAAAGCGACTAGAATCGCCATCAGATATGACTGAAGATGATGTTGAGGTTGGCCTTTGATATTTGGTCACTGGGATGATGATTGGTGGTCTTGTTNCTTTCTGAAACACAAAATAATTTTATAAATTAAATTTTAATCTTTTCTTGATAATAAATCATAATTCTACCGTTAAGTAAGTATAAATAAAATATTAAAGCACGATAAAATATAGCAGAATTAATACAATTCTGATAAATTTTAATTACATTGTCATTGTTTGAGATTAATACAATAATGAAGATTGCTTTTATCTTGAATACAAATTTGCGAAATATGATTAAAAGTGCACAGGTTAATAACAACTCTTCCAATTTAAACTATACAAGGTAATGTAAGTACATATAATGTACAAACTATTGACGCGAATAAACTTATTACATTGCACTATATACAGTAAGTACAGTGTGTAGCCTATAACATTATCACAATGAAAATAAATACCAACATAACTTTCTCTAATACCAAATGAATCGTAATAATAATGAATATAATACTGTAAATATAAAATTAAATAGTAATGTTGATTTTCTGCATAATTTAGAGAATCTGTCTAAAAGTTATTTTAAAATCAGATGCAGGTTATGCGTTCTACTGAATCAAGTTATATCTTGTTGCGTGCTGTAAGCAGGAAATAATGGTAATTCACTTTTACTTACTTACTTACTTACGTTTTACTTTATGACAAACAGATATATTAATATTTGGAAACGATTTTTTTTAATATATTAAACAAGCATTTCTGAAACCAAACACTATTATTGTGAGTTGCCAAAGAAATACATTAATAACAGAGATAAAATTATTGTTCTGTAACTTANATAAACTTATTTACAGTAAAATCGTAACAAGATGAGCCGATTCACTTAAAATTGAATTCACAAGAAGACTACACAAGAAGCGTAATACAGAATTCTATTATACTATTTTAGATGCGGTTTTTTGCGTTTTGCATTGCGTTTTAATAGGCTATCTATTATTGTGAGTTGCCAAAGAAATACATTAATAACAGAGATAAAATTATTGTTCTGTAACTTAGAGAACTTTCACAAGACCTAACCATTTTATTTGTAATGGTAATATCACAATTTATGAATTATCTGGGTATTTCGTATGCAAAGAAGTTTTGTCAACAATGTTACTTGTTTACTTAAATTTGAGAAAATAAAAATATAGTGATCATAAGAAGTCTTTTAATTCATATATTTTGATAGATGTTTATTCGAAATTCCTCCACGCGGGGTAGAGAACAGGATTAAGTCTTACCGTGAAGAACTCGACTTCTACTATACTCAATATTACAAGGTCTTTTTTTCCGATAGACTTATTACACCAACAATTAGAAACAGGACAATCTTTAGAAAATCATATTTTTATTTCCTAGGTATGCATTTCGGACTTCAAATCTCTTTTCAACTCTTTATAATGTAAATGTTTATTAAAAGCACAGAAATGGTGACGACTGATAACATACGGATGATAATTATTAATTTACAGGTGTTTGAGTAGATATGACGGTACTGTGAGAGTCGAATTTAGGGAATAAATTGATAAATAAATTTTTTGTTGAGGGAGGAAAAGTTTAAAGAAATAAAACAACGATATAAAAAACGAACATAAAAATCTTTTCCCACGAACTTAGTTCCTTGTCAAGTATGATACATCGAATGTGTCACCCGAAATCTCGAAAAGACTATTGGTCAGTGGAAAAAACAGTCCTAATAAGGCAGTGGAAAAAACCCAACGAGACCCCCCTTTATAAAAAGGAGGGGTCGATGCGTAAGAGTCAGTCTCTGGAAATTGGTGCACTGTGAATTTTACGTGAACGGATTAGCCGCTATCCGGAACTCATCTAATCGCCGCTGTTCGGAAGGACTACGCCCAACAACGTTCGAAAGAACTTTGTGCAACTGGGAAAAAGCATATCAACGTTCGAAAGAACTTTGTGCAACTGGGAAAAAGCATATCAACGTTCGAAAGAACTTTGTGAAGTCTAGAGACTCGAGGACGAAACCGACTAATCGACGATTTAAACCAAGGTATTTATCCTCGCGCGAAATACATGTGAGCCCTCTCTCTCAGGAATACGGGTAACCGGGAAGAAAATAGATATGTTAACTGAACCGATTGTATATAGCTTAATTCGAGCAATAAACGGGCATTATGCATAGATTATGTAGATTGTAATTCCTCTGATTCTCTCGTTACGCCTCCATCCCGGAACTAAAAGTCCACAAACGCGACCGTTCGCGTAACCAAAAGTAACGGCCGATAAAATTTTTCTGTGTCTGTTACAAGACACAGTGGTGTCATCCTGACAGGGCGCCAAAGAGGTGCCGATCCTGCGGTCACAGTACAATACATAAAGTACGAGTAGTAATAGCAGTGAGAGACAAACAATATACATAAAGTACACAGTTAAAACTTAACATTTAAAACCGTTACATTGGAAACCGTTTTACTATTAAAACAATAAAATAGAATGATGAAGTAAAAACAAGTGCACCGTTAAAACAATAAGATTATAAACTTATTTACAGTAAAATCGTAACAAGATGAGCCGATTCACTTAAAATTGAATTCACAAGAAGACTACACAAGAAGCGTAATACAGAATTCTATTATACTATTTTAGATGCGGTTTTTTGCGTTTTGCATTGCGTTTTAATAGGCTATGCCATGAGAATGCAGATCAAGAAGGGATTTTTTGAAATTACCACCGCTGGGGAGAGGGAGAGAGTTAACGATTACCCAGAAGAACTCGGCTTCTACTGTACTGTTTTAGGAGCCTTTTTTTGCACTTATGCGGGACATCGAACATATTTTTAGACCCTTCTAAAAATTCTCAACGCTATTTAGTGTTCTATCTATATAAAGTAGACACGGGGAGGGCATGCGCATGAGTTCGCTTTACTCGATCTCTTCGTCTTAATGTTCGATTTTATGTTCGAATTTATATTTTTATGAATAATTCTGGAAGACCCAACTTATTTTTCGAACTAGTAAAACCTAAAGAACTCAGAAAGAATTACGAAAACGATTATTATTCATACTACGTACCGGTTAGTGGTTGCTGTGAATCTTAATTATCGTTATACCAGTGTGGTAAGCAGATATCTAAAAATTTTCTACTTAGTCTCGGAAGAGGGATGGACCTAATTCTTGCACTCGGTGAAAACGGGTAAGATCGGTTATAATCTAATAATCTTAAACTTTGCTATCGTTACTTTTTGTCCGAGCAACGCCAGGCTGATCTGCAAGTTACTTAAATAAATTACTGACAAATATATGAATTATAATTGTCTTTTTTGCAAATATATAATTTTTATGTTAAGAAGACATCAATAATTCTTGATAAAGCATTAATAAATGAATGTTTTATGAATTTTTTTTATTGTGCAACTTAAATTGATAGTTAAAATAGTTACAATGGAAATGAAGAACATATTTGTTATTTGAAAATTTTCTGTATACATCACAGAAAATTCTAAAAGTATTATTTTAAATAAACAGCTGTAAAAGACTGAAGATGTGACATAAATACAACGNTGCACCGTTAAAACAATAAGATTATAAACTTATTTACAGTAAAATCGTAACAAGATGAGCCGATTCACTTAAAATTGAATTCACAAGAAGACTACACAAGAAGCGTAATACAGAATTCTATTATACTATTTTAGATGCGGTTTTTTGCGTTTTGCATTGCGTTTTAATAGGCTATGCCATGAGAATGCAGATCAAGAAGGGATTTTTTGAAATTACCACCGCTGGGAAGAGGGAGAGAGTTAACGATTACCCAGAAGAACTCGGCTTCTACTGTACTGTTTTAGGAGCCTTTTTTTGCACTTATGCGGGACATCGAACATATTTTTAGACCCTTCTAAAAATTCTCAACGCTATTTAGTGTTCTATCTATATAAAGTAGACACGGGGAGGGCATGCGCATGAGTTCGCTTTACTCGATCTCTTCGTCTTAATGTTCGATTTTATGTTCGAATTTATATTTTTATGAATAATTCTGGAAGACCCAACTTATTTTTCGAACTAGTAAAACCTAAAGAACTCAGAAAGAATTACGAAAACGATTATTATTCATACTACGTACCGGTTAGTGGTTGCTGTGAATCTTAATTATCGTTATACCAGTGTGGTAAGCAGATATCTAAAAATTTTCTACTTAGTCTCGGAAGAGGGATGGACCTAATTCTTGCACTCGGTGAAAACGGGTAAGATCGGTTATAATCTAATAATCTTAAACTTTGCTATCGTTACTTTTTGTCCGAGCAACGCCAGGCTGATCTGCAAGTTACTTAAATAAATTACTGACAAATATATGAATTATAATTGTCTTTTTTGCAAATATATAATTTTTATGTTAAGAAGACATCAATAATTCTTGATAAAGCATTAATAAATGAATGTTTTATGAATTTTTTTTATTGTGCAACTTAAATTGATAGTTAAAATAGTTACAATGGAAATGAAGAACATATTTGTTATTTGAAAATTTTCTGTATACATCACAGAAAATTCTAAAAGTATTATTTTAAATAAACAGCTGTAAAAGACTGAAGATGTGACATAAATATTACGCTTAATTATTCATTTTAAATATTTCACAATTGCGTTTAAATCTAAATGTACACTACATAAAATCTAATAAGTGTTAAAGAAGGAAAATAAAAAGTTTGGAGTTATACAAAAATAAATCAAACATTCGATAACAGATAAAATATTTGTGATCTTACCTTCTTCAAGTTTTTCTGATCCAATTGCATCTCCCACAACATCCTTAACTTGCGAAAGATTCGCGTTTACTTCATATTTTCTTTCATCAAATTGAAGTACGTCCAATTCATTTTCTGCTGTTTCTTGATATAAACCAAGATCACTTTCAGGTTGCACTCGAATAATTTTTTCTTCGACTCTTTCTCTAGAATTATTGAATGCAGAAATTTCATCTACGTGTTTGTTCCAACTTGTCGCAGGCAGATCGTCAGAAATACTTGACATCGTATCCGATTTTATTATCAAATCTGATATATATGATTCAATATCAGGGCAAGTGGAAGTTGCAGTGACTGATGCCAATTCATATGTTTCATTATTTTCTGGTTGATATTGAGCCGTTATTAACATATTTTCATCTATATCAGACACGTCAAATATTTCATTTTGGTTCATATCATCAGAAAGTTCGTCTTCAGTTGACGTTGTATCTGAGTCTATACTGTAAGCACTTTCTGACAGATCATCTGTGGAGTCAGGCTCTTCTTCTTCATATATTATATCCGATACTAAAGAATATGTTTCGAGTTCAATGAAAGCAAAATATAATGATCGTAATGTAAAGTGTTCGTGTTCATTTGAATTGATTTCTGCTGAAGAGACAGGAACATTTCTGATGTTTTCCTGAAAAATAAATTTCAAAATTTTCTCATAAACTATAAAACATTAAGTGAATCATAATTCCATAAATATTTAACAGTTCTATTGTAATGGCCAAATAGCCGAGCGAACGTTCATAGGCATCGGAAAGTGATTGAAATTTCCATTAGAAATAGCATTACTGAAATCTTATTTTTACTTGTTATCCCATAGAAATAATAAAAATTAAATCATGATTAACAATAATATATTTATTGTTGTAATTTTTGATTAAAGAATCATCTGTAATCTTTACATATTATATTAAGAATGACATATTCTGCTGCATCATGAATCTTCAAACATAGAACTTTTAATCATACATATTTCTATGAAAATCAAAGTGTCACGTCAAATTAGACTAACTATTTATAAATACTTTATTATTTATACAAGTAATAGTTACAGAAAATATTTTATACTATAAAAACTGTAAAGGGAGAATAAAATCATAATATGATAAGTAAGTAATGTATGCAGAATTTAAATACCAATACAATATTTCTTAAATAATGCTTAATATCAAGACAATGTTGTACAGATATTTATCAGTAATCAATGTTTAAATGATATCAGAATATAAAGATTTGTCTGAAATAATTTTACTAAATTTAAACTTACAGCAGGAGACTCTTCTTTCTCAATGAACTCACTAAAATATTCCTTATTTATGCAGTCTCTAATTTTATTTTCGGACAGTTTTTGTTCTTCGTCTTGCATAAGATTTGTCACTGCATTATATATAGCAGAATCGTTATGACTCGAACCAATTTCCTTCATTTCAGTAACTAAATTATAATAAAACATTTAAAAAATTAGGAAAAATTATGTTATGAGATCATAATACAAGTATTATATAAGCATTAGATTTAAATATGTAATCTGAATTTCAGTCTTTATTATACATTGAAATTAAATTTATAATTTTATAATTATTTACTTTAAAGACAATCAACCTATTTATTTACCAATACATAAACACTATCACTGCAGCAAGAACGTAATCGCTTTTCTTGGAAACTTCATTGCAGATATATTTAATATTTAATAATATTTAATATTTAATCATACGACCCTATGGCCATTGGCCTTTTTCAAGGGTCAAAAGAAAAACTAATGATACAAACATTTACAAAGTAAACAATCAACAAAACAACAAAAAAAAACAGAGAAGAGAAATACATAAAAAACAAAAAAAATACACTCAACTAATCACATTTCAATATTTTTACAGCCCGTTTAAATTGTCCGTAAGTACATAAATCTTTATATTCTTCTTTTAAGGCATTCCAATTATATATAAGTTGATAGATTGGTGCATCTCTTCCAAAACTGTGCTTAATTTTTGGTAAAATCAAATTGTTTCTCCATCGGTAGTTGTAATTAGAAGGCCTAAAATATTTATTTAATTCTTCGCTTATATAAGAATTTTTCTTGCTCACCTTTATTAGTTTAAAACCTTCCAAAAGAACTTGTTTTTTATATAAAGCTTTTATTTTATCAATTTTGATCTGGTTATAAAAAGAAGTGACAGAGGAATCATAAGGCAACTTATATAATGCTCTTATAAAGTTATTTTGTATAACTTGCAACCTATTCAATACAAAAGAAGAAGCTGTACCCCATACGGAAATACCATATCGAAGTTTAGGTTCCATGCAAGCGTGATACAAGCGCAAAACAGTCTCACAATTTAAAAAACTCATTATTCTTTTCAGTATTCCAATATATCTAGATAAAGACAGTGTTAAATTATTTATATGATTGTTCCATCGTAACTTATCATCAATTTCGATACCTAAATATTTTACAGTATTAACTCTTCGAATACGTTCATTATTTATTCTTACTTGTATATCTTCTAAATTCACTTTTTTGTTTTTATTTGATAAACAAATATAATTTGTTTTATTTTCATTTACTCTTAAGTTATTATTTTCCATGTACTTACTTAATTTAGACAACAAAAAGTTTATATTATTTTCAACCAAATGAAGATTCCAATCTGCATATGTTATAACAATATCATCTGCATACAATATAATATTATTCTCAGGAATAGTCTCTACAATATCATTTATATAAATATTAAAAAGTAAAGGGCCCAAAACGGATCCCTGTGGTACACCTTTGTTAACTCGAAATGGTTTTGATATTGAATTTTTTACCTTAACATAGTACGTACGATTTGATAAATAGGATATTAGCCATTCCAATGGCACTCCTCTCAATCCAACTTTAAACAATTTTTGTTTTAATATCTGAATATCAACACTATCAAAAGCCTTGGTCAGATCGATAAACACCGCCATTACAATATTTGCATTATCGAGACTGTTGCTAATATATTGTTTAAAATGAGTCAGAAGTATCAATTGTTGAGGCCTCTCTTTTAAATCCATACTGATTTTTACTTTTAATTTTATTTTTATTGACGAATTGAAAAAATCTTCCGTAGAAAGCCTTTTCAATTATTTTACTTATACTCTGAATAATAGTAATTGGACGATAGCTCTCCAAGTTCTGTTTAGATCGTTTATTTTTAAATATTGGGATTACGAGATTGTGTTTAAGCTTCTCCGGAAATCTCCCATACTTAAAGGATTTATTAATTAAATAAGACAATGGTAAAGCAATTATATCTGCTATTTGTCTTAAAATAAATATATTTAGCTTATCAATATCCGGAGTGTTTGCTTTTACACTCATAATATGATCAAAAATCTCTTTAGGAGAAGTCTCTTCCAAAACAAAAGAGTCGAGTATACAACGTGAAGAGGAATATGAGAAAAAAATTATTTTTTAACGTTGATGTCACAAAGCCTCCCATCTGTCTATAATGTTCAGCAAATATATTACTTATTTTTTCTTCATTTTGAAAAAATTACTTACACAAAAAAAAGTACTCTGATATCCAAAGTCGCAAAAAGTCGCCGAATTTTTCATTTCACTGATTTTCTTAAAAATTATAATACTGTCAAACGCAAAAATCAGATTAGACCAATTTTGGCATACTTACTTGCACTTATTTTTATTTTTTTCTACATAGTTCATCTGCAATCTACCATATTTCCATATAAATAATTATATCTTATCCCATTTGAGACACAGCGCGGCGTCGGCCAGATCTGGCCCGGGGTCTTAGTTTTGTGACCCTTGCTTTAAATCAAACGATAGTTTTCATAAATGTGCTAACCGAGGGGGCTGAAGCGGAGAGCTTCTCCCCACTTACCGGCTTGGCTGTCAGGAAATGGCTATAGGAGGGCTAAAGGAGTGGGAGGCGTAATGAAGTCGTGATGAGATGTCGATAGTACTTAACAAGAGTCATTAAATTAGGAATAACATATTTAATATAAACATAAAAATAATACAAATACAGTACACTTTAATTCTAAACAATATGTAAGCGATAATTATAATAAATTCCGAGTCGCGACAATATCGAACAACCGAAGTCCGTTTATCCCGTAAGCGGGTCCATCGAAGGTCCTCGACACAAAATAAATCTAAGTTCTATCCAAAGGAACAGATAAATAAATTCAAAGTCCCGAGTATATCGGTAAACGACAAATTTCTAAGTCCCGAGTACGTCGAGAGACAATGATTTCTATGTTCCGAGTATATCGAGTGACAATAATTTCTAAGTCCCGAGTATACCGAGAGAGAGTGAAGTAAAAACAATCTAAGTATTTACCTCTTTAGGTCGGCGATCAGAAACCTTGAAGTCCTTCCAGAGTAGACGCTTGTAGTCTTCTTTCTCCGATGATCGCCTCGAGATCTCCGATCATTCCCCTTTTATACTTTTTTAGCGTGGGAAATCTCGGGGACTCTTCTGACGCAAACTGTCACTTCTCCCGATTTATGACAGTCTCCCCCGTCATGGGTGACGACAATGCAGACATCGCTTGACCAATTAATGTTAAATTCGTCATCACCTGGGGAGATGACTGACCATTTTTGGTAATGTTCTCACCGTAAGGGTGCCCTTGTAGGTGACCTCTTGTCTACTCTCCATACAGGAACACCCATCCGTCTCCGTCCACCGGACACCCGCAGGAGACTACTCTTTTACAAGGTGTCTGCGGTGTGACCAATTAGTAAAAACAAACAAACGTCCCGGGGAGAGGGGAGTTCTTCCGCGGTCGCCTCGGACGACTTCGCCCTAGGGATGACCTTCTTGACGGACGAATTACGCAGTTCATTATTCAGAGTCTATTCCTTGGACAACGGGGTGAGAACGGGAGAAATAACGGATATAATGACGAAAGAAATATAAAAATTCTTATACGATAGTCAGATTTTCACATAAAAATGAAATTCAATAGGTAATTCAATGAAAAAAAGAAGGAAATTTTCCACATTTGGTAGTCTCCACTGATGGACTTTATTCTCTGATGAATGATGTGATCATTTCCAGTCAGATACATAGTGTAATTACAAAAACTATATCCAGCAATATCGATAAATGGGAATATGGTTTACAAGACAGTAAATATAAAATAATACTGTTGGTAAATTATTCAAAGTGTTAAAGTGTAGAATCAAGTTATAATTTTTAGATTAAATACTAAAACATTAATGTCTAATGTGTAGTTGTGATTTAAGTGTTCTACAAATGTTCTCAAAAGCCTGATTGCAATGCGAACGATAGTTGTTCACCCACCTCTATGAACGGTCACAAGCAAGGAGAAAAGGATCAGAGACTTCTCAATACCTCTTTCTGATAGTGATGGTATAGGTTAATCATACTTTCTGTTTGTTAATCTACCATAATAAGAACACAAGTGAATTTTATTTGCCGAGTTATTTCTTTTCATTTCAAACGTTTTCAGCCTATTTGGATAGGCCATCCTCAGGTTTTCATTCATCGTTCCAAAATGGAACCATTTGTTCGAATTTTATTTTGATTTGAATATTTGAAATGTGTTAACAACTTTTTGTATATTACATAAATAAACAAAATAAATAAAATATGTCACTAAACGTGCTACATATTAGCAAAAATAAAATAACAAATTTACATGCCTCTAAATTATAATAACTTCCTAAAACCTCCAGTTCCTATTTTATGAATTATTAAAACCCATACATTTTTCGATTTTGTATTTCCATGCTGTTGGTAATGCATTTGCATCTTTTGCATTTAGACAGCGGTTCCTCATTTTACTTTTGTATATCTCTATTTTTTCCATTTCCATCGCAATGGCCGGTGAGTGCACCGTTCTTATGATCTTCTCTTCATCCCATTTGACTATTGCTCCGTCTCACTGTGCCATGCTTGCCAATATCGTGCTATTGAGTCCTTTATTAACACTGTATTTGTGCTCTTTTACACGTACTGCAAGGTTTCTTCTGGTCACCCCTACATATTCTTTATCGACTCCTATTTGTTGGTTTTCATACGGAATAGTGTACACCTCCGCTTGCTGTTCCATTCTTATTTTGTCCTTATCGTTCTTTAATAATCTATATATGTTGGGTACTTGTTTGTAAATTATCTTTGTGTTTTTGTATTTTTCCGGCTCATCCGCTACTTTTCTTGTTTGTTCATTGTATGGTGAACTTGTTGAATTCAGTTGCGTTGTTATGCGTTGTAGTCGTAGTTTTTTGTTTACCATAACTTCTGATAAGGCCTCTCATTGTGGACGTTTTGTATCCTAAACTCCTTGCTACTTTTTGTAATCTATCCATTTCCTTGTTACGGCCTTGCACATTGGTGCAGTACAAGAAGGCCCTCTTGATAAGTGCCTTAAATGCAGACAGTTTATATCTATACGGTT